TTCGCATCGCCCCATGTGAATAGGGTGAATGGATTCCGAATCGATTCCAGGGCTCATGACATGAAAATCGAACGATTCGAATGCACGAATCGATTCAAGTGCATAATCGAACGCAGCCAGTGTGGGAAGTGAACTGTGAAAAAGAGAAAACATATGCCAACCCTACCAGGACTCGAACCCGGGACAAAAAATCTGGGTGCGGCCTATGCTCTGGAAAATACGGTAAGAACACACGTACACACAAGTACACACACACACACACACACACACACACACACGCACACACACCCAACACGCACGCACACATGCATACAATATCCTACCGGGAAAGCTGCGACGCTTGTGCATTGGCGCCACGAAGCTCCACCGATCGTTGACCTCATCATACCTCTCCACGCTATCCAGACACATATGCCCATCATATCCACCGGCGGCGTAGATTGCACCCTCCAACACGCCCACACCAACCCCGGAGCGAGGAGACGCCAGGCTGGCTCGAACCTCCCAGTCCTTCGTCCGTAGGTTCCAGCTGTGCACGGAGTTGAGGCGAGACACGCCGTCCGACCCTCCAATCACGTAAATACTGCCGTTGTGGTAGACAACGCCTAGCTGTTGGCGGCGGCGTAGCAGTGTGGGACCTTGCGTCCATGATCCCGACCTGAATACACACCGTGGTGGAGCAGAGCAGAGTGGGGCAAGCAAGAACGCGTGTGGGAGAGAGAGAGAGAGAGAGAGGGGGGGGGGGGGGGGAGGGGAGAGTGTAGATTCAAAGGTTGGAATCCCAGGACAGGTAGACATTGGAAAAACAAAATTTATTCTCTTCTTGTATGTATCGTGTCTCAGCGGCGTCACATACGGTACGACCACTACGACCATGGTCGTACCACTTTTCGTTCAGGATGGTCCGTCCAATTCATCCAAAAAATAAGAGCGCTAAAACGCATCCCGCTACCTGAAAAATCCGACCTCCCCCCCCCCCCCCCCCCCCACCTCCCGGGACACCCCGACCTCCCGAGAGTGTAGATTCAAAGGTTGGAATCCCAGGACAGGTAGACATTGGAAAAACAAAATTTATTCTCTTCTTGTATGTATCGTGTCTCAGCGGCGTCACATACGGTACGACCACTACGACCATGGTCGTACCACTTTTCGTTCAGGATGGTCCGTCCAATTCATCCAAAAAATAAGAGCGCTAAAACGCATCCCGCTACCTGAAAAATCCGACCTCCCCCCCCCCCCCCCCCCCCACCTCCCGGGACACCCCGACCTCCCGTTGTACCACTCCCCAATGCCCTGTGTCTGCACCAAGCCAGCAATGATACTGACTTAGGCCTGGTATTATCGATAATTTTCACGAAACGAAAAAGTTTAGTTGGGATCCTCCACCACCCACCCACCCCCCTGAACAAAAAATGGATGGACTTGACAGCTAGATTGCATTGATGTCTCACATATCAATATTTTTGAAACGAAACTCCCCTTGACCCACCCACCCATAAACGAAACTTTTTTCTCTTCGTGTAAAAGATCGTTCATTATGGACGGCCCCTTACCTGCTATTGAATATCTCCATGCTGTCGGAGATGTGCTCCGACGACTTCTTGCCACCGAGTGCAAACACGGTGCCGCGCACCGACTTGCGAGGTCTACACATCTCCAGCCGGCTGCGCATGTCCCAGCGCGCTGGGCCTTCGTCCAGAAGATGAAACCTGTGACAATAGAGAGGTTAAAAAAATTTCAGATGGAACTCTCTTCCAGCTGACTGTCGACTGGCCCACTCTCTTGCTCTGTTCCTAAACATAGTTAAACTTCACCTAGGGTTCCCAGTAAAAAGGCAGTAGCCTGTTGGGACTCCCCTTGTAAAAAAACTACAACTACTACCACCTACTACGCACCTGTTTGCCAAGTCCAGTACGTTACGGCACTCCATGGAGTTGCGGAACGCCGGGAACGTGCCCACCTGCTCCAGCAGGCTGCGCTTGCTCAGGTGCACCAGACGCAGCGTCCTGAGCAGCGCTAGAGCGTGCTCGGAGCGCGTCCTGTGCTCCGAGCGGCGCAACCTCTCCTCGTGCTCGGCCGTCGCCCTCGCCAGCATGCCACCAGGCATGGTGTTGCAAGAGTGTGGTGATGCCGCCGTGGTGCTGGAGTGGGATACCGGCGGTGATCCGTGTATGTGATGCGATGCACCAACTGCTGCCGGTGGTGCTGCTGTGCTGGTTGACTGCGCTTCAACCGTGCAAGGATTCGCATCCCATTCGGATGCAGCAGTGGCAGCGGTGGAGGAGTAGGGTAGGAATTCGTGTGACGTGCTCAGTGGCAGACTACTGCTGGTGCTGCTGCTGCCGCTACGGAGGCTGCCACTGGACAGCGGGGCAGGCGCGGGCGGTGGCGCTGATTGAGATGCCGGTGGAAATGCCCAGCAACCACCACCACCACAAACACCCCCAGCACTGGTGACTGTGCCTTGAGCCTGCAGTGACGATGGCCACTGTGCATCTCCGGCTACTAGTTCTTGTGCTGTTCCAGCTGTTGATGCTGCTGCTGCTGATGTTTCTTGCGATGCTGCTGCTGCTGCGGACACTTCCTGCGATGCTTCTTCTGCTGCTGCTGTCTCCCCATCGGCATAGCTCTGACTCCAAGTACCTATCATAGACACCATCCTCGGTGGTCCGGCACTGGACATTGATCTCCTTGCCTGTACCGACGGCGACGTCTGGTTCGCGGCTGTGTTTCCGTCCACTACGCTGACGGGGAATGACTGCACGTGAACTGCACAAGCCGACAAAGTTGGTTTGTACGACGCTGCCCCTGCCACCGCTGGTATCTGCTCACCTTGCTGCTGGTGCTCCGTTGTCGAAGATGATACCCCGGCTGCCGCTGTGGAAGTTGACGATGTAATTGAGACGGCGGAGGCGGCGGAGACCACTTGAACTGAGTCCGTAGCCGGGACATTACTGCTCCTGCTGCTGGTGTTTGTGGTGGCGGTGCTGCTGGCGATGCTATTCGTGGTGGTGGTGCTGCTGGTGGCATCAGAGGCACTATTCCCTTCTGGTCCAGAACAGGAGTGCTGCTGTTGCTGCAGTGGAGATTGACGCTGCTGCTGTTGCTGGTGTTTCTGTTGTTGCTGTTGTGTCGTGGGACTGCACGCACACCTACATGGCTGCTGACACAATGTAGCCACAACGTTGGGACTACCCGGTGATGTTTGAGCAGCAGCAGCAGCAGCAGCGGCGGTGGTAGTGACAGCCTGAGGTCGGCACTGGGTTAGAGGATTCACCAAGCTACCGATCTCTGGGCACTGCCGATGCTTGTTGCCGTGGCCGTGGCAGCGGCCGCAGTGACACAGCGACCGGGCGCGAGGGTAGCGGTGCTGCTGCTCTTGACTCTTGTACAGGCTGCCGCTTTTCGGCGCGAGAGAGGAAGCGCGTCCGGCAATGCTGACGGACGTGGCGGCGGTGGACTGGAGGCGAGACATTGGGCAGAAGCTGCCTCGCAGGCCTGCTGCTGACATGGCTGAAGAACTACGGGCAACGAAATCCGGAGAACACACACACACACACACACACACACACACACACACACACACACATACACATGCACAAGCACACGCACAGACACACAAATGCACACACACACGCACACACACACGCACGCACACACACACACGCACACACACACGCACACACACACACACACACACACACACACATTTGTAAAGATCATGCCATGTGCTAGTATTGAGCACTTTGATCCCCAGGCCTACATAGAGGTTATACAGTTGAATTGTCAGTTGAGAGCTCTGGCACAGATCGAGTGAATAGCACTGAAATTTAATCCCAAAAAGCATCAAACCCGTTGATATTTTTCAAAATCAAATACATTCGGGTCAGCTCCCAAAGGGCATAAGTAACACAGTTACATCTACAGAGGATAGCACTGCTGTGAAACCTGTCAAGGCGACCACTCTGATAAGGCGACCACCTGTCCAAGGAGACAAACCTGAACCAGGCCCAGGGGATGCTATTTCCAGTCCGAAATGACCCTGGATAAGGAAACCCACCAACTGTACACACGGACCAGATTCGTCAGATTCGTTGAGTGGCTGCCTTGGCAGGTTTCACGGTTCAGTGAAACCTGTCAAGGTGACCACTCGGATAAGGCGACCACCTGTCCTAGAAGACCACTGCAGCCAGGACCAATGGATGCTATTTCCAGTCTAATGACCCTGGATAAGGAGACCACCTGGTAACAGAGACCACGATTTAAAAGTCCCTTGAGTGGTCGCCGTAGACAGGGTTCGCTGTACAGTTGCGCTCGCTGAAATCCAAGTGCCAAAGCTGGTGCCCTGGAGCAGTTCCGATTTCATCATTGTATGTGTACATGTGTACGTCCAGCCGCATTCGTGCCGCTTTCAGGGCGTCAAGGGCCGTCGAAGTTGAGGGCGCCAGCTTTGCACGTCGGGTCGGATTTTAGTGAGCGCAACTGTATAAAAAAAAAGAAGTCCAGTAGGTGCCTGATTGATTCTTACCTGATGTTAGCTCCGGTGTTACAGTAGCCTTCATGATGGTTATACCATCGCAGTACAGCTTCCAGCACCTGTTCCTCACACTCCACATTCAGTAGGTCATTGCGTAGTATCGGTAGCAGCAGCTCAAGAGGGTACGTAACAAACTCTTCGCAGACGGACACCTATGGACGGAAGTACAGTGCGCATGCACACACACATACATACACATAAGACAATTAGCAAGCTACAGATGGAATTCATAGGCCAATCAGCAAGCCAGGGATGGCATTCACAGGCTAAGCAGCAAGCCAGGGAAAGAATTCACTGGCCAATCAGCAAGCCAGGGGTGGCATTCACTGGCCAAGCTGCAAAACAGGGAATAAATTCACTGGCCAAGCTGCAATACACCAGGGAATGGAATCCACTGGCCAAGCTGCAATACACCAGGGAATGGAATCCACTGGCCAAGCTGCAATACACCAGGGAATGGAATCCACTGGCCAAGCTGCATACCAGGCACTGTAAAAGCCATTATTCTAACGAGGAGCATAACAATGTCCCAAAATTGACTGGTTTACGTGTACCAAAGGTAACGATTCTCACTCATTCTCAACGCTCAATAGGACAGTATATGTGTCGATTTCTGTATAACGATTTCTATTTTAACGACAGATTTCTCCTCGTTAACTCGTTAGAGTTAGCACTTCGTTATATATATGGCTTTTACAGTAATGGATTCACTGGCACAACGGCAAGCCAAGAAACACAATCCAGCAGCACAGGGCATGTAGTAACATTCTGCACTAGTGGGAATAATCATACCTCGGGAAAGTTGTTCAGAATGTACATATCAGTACGATGGGCGGTCTCCATGCAGCCATTGCTGGTCAGGAACGCACGAATGCCCAGACAGTTCTGGTCGTCGAGATGGTTGAGCAAGAAGTCGCAGCACTGACTGACGACACTGGAGACTTGGAGAAGCGATGCGGCCGCGAGTAAGTCCTGTACGTTCTCAATAGTGATCTGAAGACATATGCACGCATGTACACACACAAGCATACACACACACGCATGCACACACACACACACACACACACGCATGCACACACGCACACACACACACACTTCACTGAAAGATCCTCGATAAGCCAGCCTGGATGCATGCACCGGTGACGGTACAGGGTGACACACATACACGCACGCGCACACACACAACTCCGTAGCTACTCATGCTTACAAAGAAACCTAGACAATTGTTTGTGTCATCCTCGTGTCAGACAATCATTGTAATGATCATACAGTGTTAGGAGGATAACACAAACATAATTTATTTTGAAACTCGGATGTTGAGCCATAAATAAATGTAGAAAGGAAAAGGACATATGGATACGAGTTAAGAGTTATTGCACTTTCTGACTGTATATCGTATCCAGTTACAGTGATGGAGATTTACTCGTAACTCGTATCCACATGTCCTTTTCCTTTCTACATAATTTATTTTGTTTATTAATCGGACTTGGCCTCAAGGATGACACAATGTTTTAATACTATCAGACCTTGCTTATCTGCCTAGAGATTCCGGTGCATCCTGTACACACCTCAAGAGTTCGCGAGTAGATGGAGTCAACAATGGTCTTCAGCACATCGAACTGAACATGGCCAATTTCCACCTCCGCGGCGCGTCCTTCCTTCATGCCACTAGTAAACATGGCAAGGAAATAGTGACTGGCCGATGCCAGTATTGCACGGTGTGCCGTGAGGCGACTGCCGCCTGCTATCAGTGTGACATCACACAGGGTTGGGTAGCAACGTAGCTCATTCAGCCGGTCCAGCACCTGCCAGAACACAACAAACGATGAGCCAGCGAGCGAGCAAGGGACAGACAGACAGACGGACAGAGAGATGGGACACACTCACACACACATGCGTACGTGTGCACTCACACACGTGCATACACACACACACACACACACACACACACACACACACACACACCATGTACCATGTATATGCCCGTCGCAAGAGAAGTACGCAAATCTGCAAATGCACTGGATGTGAACCCACAGATTTTCTCTTACAGCAATGATAGCGAACAAGATTTGAATGAGACAGATCATGACTTGCGCCAGATAACTGTCTAATCCACACAACTGGCGAAGCCACGTGAATCGACCACCAATGCACACCTGGTCTACATCACAAGGAGTACATCGGCCAAGACAGTTACGTATGCACACCCTACACTTGCTGGGGTAACCAGTATGACACACACACACACACACACACACACACAAACACACACATACACACACACACACACACACACACACACCATGTACCATGTACCATGTACCATGTACCATGTATACGCCCGTCGCAAGAGAAGCACACAAATCTGCAAATGCACTGGATGTGCACTCACAGATTTTATACACACACACACACACACACACACACACACACACACACACACACACACACACACACACACACACACACACACACACACACACACACACACACACACACACACACACACACACACACACACACACACACACACACACACACACACACACACACACACACACACACTTAGCTCCATTTGAAAACATTATCCAACATGATCATAATCATGTTGCCTTTATATCAGTCTTGTTTTCAACAATGTTTGCCGCACAATTACGAATACAGCATTAGAACTATTTAGATGCCTATAACACCAGTACCTCTCGGGCTGGATCGCCAAACGCGGCGGGAAGAGTCTTGGTCGCTCCCCAGCCCTCCTTCACAGGCTCTAGCGCGCGGCTACTTGGCGATTTGACTTGCGCGGCCACTCCGTTGTTGATCGGCGCTTGATACTGATTGGGATCGGCCATGGCAGTTGTGTGACGCTACTGCTGTCTATCGCTCCTGCCTATGCTCACGAGGCCATGCAGCTACTAGTAGTACTACGCCGTCTACAGTAACTCCTCGGCTCCTTCTTGAATCTCGTCGCTGAACACCCGGCAAGGGAATAAATTATTTTAGTAGCAATCCCAGCGAGTCATTGATTTCCGCAGATCATTTGCTACCTGGAGCTGTCCAGACTCTACGACGCATGTCGTTGTCCTGGTCTCCTGCCTGAGTCCTGGCATGGCAGCCCGTGCCAGCTGGCTGACTTCGAAGATCACGATTCCACGTGCACGGAGTCACACTCGAATGAACAGTGGCATGCAGTACGCTAACAACACACAGCTGTTCAGCAACCACTTGCACACTCCTTCTGCGAAGCAAAGAATGATGGATTGATGTTGTGAATAACAGCTAACACAGCCTTTCGCCTCTGTTCAGACTGTTGTGTGTGTATTTATTATAATTTTATGTACATGTATGGAGTTTGAAGACATGGGATGATGGGGGGTGATCAATATTTTTTGTCTTTTTGACTTCAAGTTCAACTGTTCAACTCAACTTCAAGCTAGCATGCAGTGCAGGATCGAACCTACTCACATCGCAGCACTCACATCATAGCAGAGACTACAATCATGTATACCGGTAGTACTACTAGGCACTTCAGGCGGTTTTTTCAAAACCAGAAATACTCGTATTTCTTTCTTGTATCCGATTCAGATAGGTTTAGGAAGACTCCACAGAAAATTTGAAGCAAAAAGAATAACTTGGCACAGAGATATAGCCATCCAAAGTCGGAGAATTGAATAACGGCAATTTCAGTATTTCGACGGCACCAGCAGCATATCAGAAATTGGTAGGACTTGCTTCAGTGTCTATAGTGGCAAAATACCAGGCTCGCTCGAAGCAGGTCAAAATAACCAGATGAATGCAGAAACAGCATGGTTTGGAAAAACTTCGCATTTTTCATCCGTCCGGCAGCTCAGACGAAGATATCGGGTGTGGTCACCATGGCAACTCCATAGCAACTCCATCGCAACAGCATGAAAACAGTGCAGAGAAGCCTTTGGAAAAGCATAAGATGAGACTTTGAGGTAAGATAAAGTAACTACAATAATTCAGTGCCAGAACACATTGTTGCTACATGTACAGTACTGACGTGGTCATGAGTACAGAAGAACAATGAGCCACAGACGGAGCAAACTAGAATTTTACAGAGTATTTGACGGAAAGAAATGACAAACTATTACATGTAGAACATCGTTTGCAAATGTTTGGGACTACTGAAACTTCAGCAACTCCAGCATGAGAGATTTTGTGCATAGAGTGTGTGCTGGATTCTTGGTATTATATCACCGTCAATGCTTTTCTTGGTCGCTGGAAGCCACCTGCTGATCAGCTGACGATTTGTTCCAAGCAGGCCGTTTTGATGTCAGCTCTCTTGGTCCAGTCGCCGAAGTATATACTGTCCTACTCGTTGCCTGCAGGAGAGGACGACTGCTCCGATGCGACTCCAATAATACCTGGCAATATTAATTTTTCTTCTTGCGCAGCCATGCGCATGGGCTCCGACGAACAAGGACTACTGCCGGGAGGACGCCTGCCGCGGCTCGCTTTTAATAACACCTCGCATTATTTCTTCTTGCGCAGCAATGCGCAAAGTGTTGGACAAACGAGGACAACTGATTCCGAAAGGAAATACGACGCTGAAGACGATGAGCTACATGGCAAATGCGTGCAATCAAGTGAAATGCCCGAAAAATCCTTGCCGATTTTACTCGAACTGTACGTGAGTTCAAAAAATTGCCGCATCATGACGTATGTGGGCTCAAACGAAAGCTGAGGGCCTCAGCTACACAGTAGGATCGCCAAGCCCTACTCAAGGGCCAGTTTTATTTGCAACCGCGGGAAACAAAGCCCCCATGACGCCGTCTTTTCAGGCCTTCAGGAATGGCCGAAATTCCGAAATTTGTGGAGGACTCTACCTGGCCCTTGTCGTCTCAGTGGCCGGTCAAGGGCAATCGAAGGGTGTTTTCGGCTCCGTAGGGATACCTTCTACCCCAATATGATATTAGTTTGAGGATGACCTGCGTGAAGCGAAGTTACAGGGCTGATGTTTGTTGGACGTCGTCATTTCCATTTGCATTCATCAATCATTGGGCTCGAAAGAACTGGCTGGTAAGTGAAAACTGTATAACTGGCACTAAAGCCACTTGGTGGGTAGGTTGCCGCAACACTCTAGTTTATCAAACAACAAAAGAAAGCAGTGTGGGTGCTTGCCACACAACGCGGCACGAAATTCCCAGAGGTGTGTTGCCATTACGTGAAAATCACGACGTAATATTTTCGCACATATCAGGGGCGATATGTCTCTGTTTAGTATAGCAATCATGGGCAATGCATGTGTGACGCATCTATTGACAAAGAGCAAATGATGTAAAGTAATGTCGTGCCTTCCATAATGCTTGGACTTGAAAAAGTAGCATTTAGCCAGTGAGTACTGTGGTTCTCTAAAGATTTCCTTGAGTATGGATTTGTATTGCTCAAATAATGGAGGTGAATACGCCAGGAAATCTTTAGATTTTTCATAATATAGCAGTAGGGGATGGTCCGAAAAGATTCTTGGTACACTGCAGTATACATAATTATAATATACCATGCACATCATAAGCCGCGTCATGTTCCTGCTGTTGGAGCTGTTTGTGCTGGTACCACTGTGGTTGTCGTAGCTGAACATGATGATGCTGCTGCTGCTGTTGCTAATGAGGAGATTTGGGTTGATTATGTGACGATAGGTGCTGCAAATGGTTGTTGTCAGGGGTTGGTGCTACAGCTAGTTGTGCTATTACGACGGGTTATTTTGCAGCAACAAATTGTGGGGCTTTGGAGGGTTATGCAGATTTGCTGCAAGGTTTGTGCTGGTGCTTGAGGTGCGCTCACGCTGCACATACTCCCCCCCCCCCCCCCCCACTGAGGCCGCAATCAGGATTTGTAACGTAACTGTGACGTTCAGTTCATGTGTGTGCTGTTGCCATTCAACTTACCCGCTTTTGCGCATGGCCACCGGTTTTGGTCGCAATGTGAGCATGCCCTCAGTGGGTTGTACTGCTGCTGCTGCGATTGTTGCTGCTGCCACTGGCATTACCGCTACCGCTGGTGTTGCTTTTTTAGCATTGTTGCTGCTGTCGCTCCTCCTGGGACCCGTGTTGCTGCTGTGATCGTTATTGAGTCTGTACACTTGCCGTTGCAGTCTTGAATCTGGATCACTTTATCAATGGTCCTTGTGCACGTTGTACAGATGTACGAATTCCCGTAGTTGTTTGTATTCCTGCTTGGGTGTTCGTTGTGTGCCATACATGCACATTTGACCAATTTAGACCAATAATCATGGGAAGACAATCGCTTTTCCAGCTTCATCACTTTGGATAGAGCTCAAGACTAGCTAGATCTTCTTTGGAAAAATGGTTCCGTATGAAATGCCTTCAGGGCACGTTTCATAAAGCAAAGAGCAGTAAACACGTTTTCCTGTACATTCAACACCCAACACAGTCTATAGGATTCTACAAGATTCTATGAAATTTCTTGCATCTGTACAGCATTACTTGTTGAGTACAGAAACCCATGACTAGGCATTACATGAGTTGAAAATGTTGCCGCGGTACATGTATTTGTCGCGATGTCTACGTGTGGTATATCGGTCCTACCTGTGGAAACCACGACAGGTGTCTTCACAGTTGATTCTTTACCATTGCGTGTTATTGTGTGTGTTATCTTCAGATGTCATGGAGAACGTGTGCAGCATACCTTTCTGAACCCCGACAGACATGTGTCGGTCAACCATTGACATCATAGCAATGTATGCATGGCAGCAATGTTTATCAGCTCAGCCGAATGTCTATATGTTTCCACCACGTCGATCAGGAAGGTGTGTACATGCTTGATTCTGCATGTAACTGTGTGGCTTGGCCTCTAGCACTGTATACTATTGTGTATATTCTGCTTCAAACATTCACCACAGTGACTTCCAGAGGTTAAGACAATTTGATAGCAGTTCGAATGGCATATCTCTCGCTTGCATACGATAAGCCGAACTTGCCAAATCGCCAATTCTATGCTCACGTTGCCATAGCGTGTCAATCACGTACATGTATCATAAATTACATTGGGCTCTTTCGATTACACATTCTGGACCCAGGTTTTATAATTCTTGAATGACCAGAATGAACGGATTGCGGCTATGTAAACAAACTGCACGTAGAAATCGTAAAGGGGGATCACGTGGGATCCCGTACACCCTCGCCCGCAAGTGTACCTAGCATGGCGTGTACGTCGAGTGTGTAATTTCTGAATTCTAGAAACGACGAGATTTTGTGTAATAGGACGCGCTCGCTGTAGATACTTCTTACCTTAGTTTGTGCCATTCTGGAGTTGTTGCTTTTTTGTGTTACTGTGTGCAGGGTGTCTGGTTCTTGCCTCTGCCGCAGAAGATTCCATCGCTGCTCCAGGATTGAGTTGTAGAGGAACTGCAGCATGTCCGACCCATTTCGGTGAAGCACGATGCCGTGATTGATCGTGATTGATCAGTGATGGTGATGATGGCCTGTACCTGGTGGTCTGTGCTGGCTGGTGCACGCTACCCTATCCACAAGTTGCCTGTCAGGATGTGAAGCTAGGCATTGTAACATGTGCTGCAATACCAACCTTCTGGTGTCACCTCTATCTGGAAGTTGACTTGCAGATACTACTGTATCGGAGAACAAGTTTGGCGAGTCCCGCCGTGGCTGTTTTGTGATCGCTGTTGACGCATTCCACATGCTAGTCTATCATGTAGCTACTAAGAATTAGCATGGCGCTTTGGCATTTGGGATACGTGGCAGTGCATGTCACCCTCACAGTCGTCAGCACTGCACAGTGGCTTCGCCGGTTGGCCGGCTACTCTTCGCTGCCGGCCATTTCGCTATACCGTTATCAGGCTTTATGCGAGGCCAGCTTATACATACATTATGCTGTTGACGGCTTTCTGGCTTCTTAGTCTTGTACAGTTTGTGGATGCGTAAACTGGTATGGCTCTTCACATATTGCGCGTTCCGGGCCACATTGCTGACATTGCCGCATGTGTTCGTCCCATTTCTATTATCCAAATAAGTGTTTATTTTCATTCCTTGTTATGGTGGTATCATGGTGGTATAGTTTCCAGCCTCCACCCACTGTTTCTGATTTCGGCTGTGTTGCAGTAGCTCGCCAGTATGATAATCATTATGACTATATGACGCGAATTTCTAATAAAATATGACTGCTGAAAACCTGGCGAGAACAGACTAACTCGATAACTGGCACTAAAAAGAATCCTCTCACCGATACATCTAAGCAATATCTGTGCACACATGCAAAAAGAATTGCAATCGGTTAGTGCCAAACAATGCGGCACGAAATCTGCGGAGGGACGTTTTGAATCCAAGAA